AAAAACAGTTACACGAGTATTAAACTACAATAAGATTCAATCTGGGAAACATTTTATGATTGAAACTTGGCTTAGAATAACTTAGTAACAACAACAACAAAAAAAAATGAGAGAGAGATCGCATAGCATAAAGTTGCTCAAGAAAAAGTTTAAATAAGCCAAAATATTTATCCCTGAAATTACCTTCTGTTTTCACTGTATAATACATTTGTCTGTGAGAGGCTTAAGGATGGTAATTAGTGATGAGTTTAGGACATTTGTTGTATGTTTGTACAAACATTTGCTGAGATTTCAGGTTTTGGATGTTTTGAAATTGAAGAGTTTATTTATAAAAGCTGTAAACATTACAATAACTTAAAGTTCCTTACCAGAGTACTTTGTCAACAGAAAAATCCTGAATGAAAACAAGTCAAAAGGGATTTGAGCTGCAAGGCATTCACTGAATTCATAACATGTTGCTATTAAACCTCAGATTTCCTTAATACCCTGTAAGGACATTTGAGTTATTTCTAAGTTTATTGTGTGTAAATGTAGAATGTATTGTGTGTAGAATGGAACAAAGTTAAATGCAATTGTTGAAACAATTTTTTTGAAGCTTTATAGTGTCCGTTATGATTTGTGTTTAAGTGGAATGCACCTGAAGAAGCTGTAAAGTGAAATGTTGAGTGTTCAATTAAAGAAAATTAATAAATTTTGGTATTTTAAGGGCATTTATTTGTAGTATTAAAAATATTTTTTTTCCTAATATAGAGGACAGTCAAACAGCACAGTTACTTGGTCTGATAATGGAACTTCTAACATTTTGTGTGGAACACCACACCTACCATATAAAAAACTACATTCTTCACAAGGACCTACTTAGGAGGATTCTTGTTCTCTTGAAATCAAAACACACATTCCTTGTTCTCTGTAAGTAGGGAATGAAGTTTTTTTGTTTTATTCTATATTCTCTAAACTGTATAACAATCACAGGAATGTTAAATGTACCAACTAGTTTTTTTTACAAGTAATAATAAACATTTTATAAATGTAAAATGATGTAGGAATGGCAGTGCCAAAAAGAATGGGAAAAAGAACACATGGATGATATAGCTATACATAGATCATCTCTTCGTGACTTTCAATATTAAAATTTAATGTTACACTGTTTGGTACCTGATGATGACAAAACTTTATCTAAACGTTGTACATTTGCTGTTATGTTAAACTTATATTAAAGTTTTTCTTCA